ACAATCAGCCCCTCCAGAGTCATCCTTGCAGCTTGACCATCACCACTCCCACTTCTCTGCAATCCCCACTGGTCTGTTTTGGATGAGGAAGAGGAGAAAAGTGTAATAACTCATCAAATACCCTATCCTTACCCTGATGCCCGAAGAAATGATCAGAAGAAATCATATCTCCTAAGAGCCAAGGGTAGCTTTTTCTGCCCTTTAGTTTTCAAAGAGGCATTAAAAGTCCAATTGCCTTTGAGCCTGCTTTATAGAATGTGCTTTGAGCCAATACATTTGGGACCCACATTTGCATGCCATGTCCATAGATAAATATTTCCCCAAAGGGAAACTAGCAAGGGAGGAACTGTTAAGCCTCTGTTGTAGGGAGGTCCTGCCTTGCCCTGGATGTTCTAAAGGTTCTATGGCTAAGTGGCTAATATGTAAAATGACTGAGTCCCATCCTTGTACAGATAGGAATGCAGAGCTGTCAGGACATCCCAGAAAGCACTATGCCAGGAGCGGGTGCATCTGAAGTTACATCTTCCAACCCATTCCCTTTTCTGTCACCTGAATTGTTCTCTCATTCCTGAGTTCAGACATTCGTAAGGGCACTATGGTTATTTAAGGGAATTCTCAAAGTTACTTTTCCCAAGTTGGTTAGAAAAACACGGTAAAGCCAGCTTTGAGAAACTAGGAAGAGAATCAAACCATGATTCCTGCAAACACAATATGTGTGTTTATGACTCTCCTGCCTGGTTCTTTTCGGGTCCAGTTTATTTTGAGTTCTCCTGAGCAAAACATAAGACACAAACTGCCTTTGCCTTTGAAATAATAAATGGCTTAAAAAGACCTGTATTTTCCCCTAAAAACAGGCTGCAGCTTAAAAAATATTTAGCTTAAACCAGATTGATTTTGCTAGTAATATCTCACAAGACCACAATGTTTGCAAGGGAGTGCTAGTCTCTCCCCGTGTTCTTTGAATCTTTTCCAGGGGAAGCAGTGGGAGTGAAGGGAAGAAGACAGGAGACATGGAAGCAAAATAAATGTTTTAATCTGGTCTAGTTGTTTGGCCCCAGAAGCAGATGTAATGTTAGGCACATTGGGGACGACATCAACTACAACATTCCTCAAAGGAAGGGTTTTGGTATAACCAGCTATGGATACAGTTCCTCTTGTTGCCCCCCACCACCACCACCACCACCAGCCCTCAGCCGGCATTCCAAAAGTCCCTTGGACTTTTGAAAGTTCTGGGCTGGAGTGCTCTTGTGTAGTCCCTTCTCCCCTCTTTCTATCATACCTCCATCCTTAGTACCAAAACACAAAGCACCTAAATCAGGAACACGTCCAAGATGGCATCATGGCTTCCCTGCCTTCCAGAGCAGAAAGCTAACTCAGCAACCCTAGGAGGCCTAGAGAGAAATACACTAAAAAGGCCAAAGAGCAAAAAAGAGTGCACCTACAGGTATGGGTTCAAAGGACAGTGCACATGGATAAGGCAAGATTAGCCTTTTCCTCCTCTGGTCAGTCACTACCCTAAGGACGCCACCAGTGTTCCTGGGTAACCCTTACTCCAGGCCACTTCTTTTGAGGTCTACATCTCTAAAGCTGCAGGCTCTGAGTTTGGCACTCTAGACCCTTGGACCCCAGTAATTAACTGATAACGAGGCTGTCACTGAGGACTGATGTTCAGATTAGTATCTTTTATTACTTTTTTAGTTTCACGTTGTTCTTTTTTAAAAAAAAATAAAATCATTTTCCATCCCATAAAAGGATTCATTCAGGTGGGGGTAATGAAAAAAAAAAACAAACCCGAAGGACCAATTGCAAGTTCTGAAACATTCTCTACTGAGGTCATCTTCCCCTTATAGACAGAACACCCCAAATCTGAATACAAACCATGTCCTAATCTCTCTCTCCTTCCTTCAATCCCCCAAATTGTCAGCGTTTGGAAGTGGTCAGCCAGCTACTTCCTCTAAACTGTTATGTTCCTGGGCTGAGTTCAAACAACCTTTTTACTTCGGCTACCTGCTTTCAAGATCTAGAATGGTTTTAATAAATGGTCTTTTAAAAATGTATCAAATATTGTAGTATTGAGTACTATTTATTTACACATCCAGAATTTCCCCTCCTTGTGAAACTGTAAACAGAACACCCTTGACCACACTATCTATATTCTTTCTGTGAATAATCAGATCCTACAAGCACCCTCCTTGAGCTCAAATCAGCAGACCTAGCCATGCTGACTGTTGGAAGTCGTAGGTCAAAAAATCTTTCCCAGTCTAAATGCAAGACCAGAGACTGGTTTCTGGGCATCCTCACTGCTGTCTCTATAATGAGAACATCTGGGAAACTGAACTACCATCTCACCCCATGGAGGTGATAGGATGGGCACCGTATGCACTCTCTGCTTGGGTTTTTACTGTGCCCATCCTCTTCCTAGGGATCAGCCACTACAAACCTAGAAAATACTGCTCTGAGCTGAGGCCCAACATTGAGAGGACGTGGCCTGAATCTTGGCGGCCTAGGAGTTGCCTGCCACCCACCCTAATTCACGATGGCTTTGCTGTCCACTGCAAACTCATCGACTCTGACTCTGAGGTCAGCAGGGAAATACAGGGCTACTTTCCGAGCCCTTTGGGTTTAAGGAGCGAGGGGGCTTCGTTTGTGGCCTGGGGCCGGCTATGCTGGCCACAATAGGATGATAACTCTATGTGGAGTCTTTGGTTTCTTCTGAGATACCCCAGCCAGGCATAGCAGAGTCCAGGCCACTGGGCTCTCCTCGGCTCCTACACTCTGGCCCTCAGCTCCCTCTAACTTTCTGCCTGTGGGTTCCTGCTGGCATCCCTTTGCACACGGAATCGCTGTAGCTGAATCTCCTTCTACACATCAATTTCGCTGGAGCCTTAAAGCCAAGCCTCCCGAGTGATTTCCGGCTCCTGCCAAGGCTCCCTCACCCTCCTGAGTCTTCTAAAAGGGCTCAGGCCACGGGGGCGCCCAGGCCCAGCCCGACTGCCCCGAGGCCGGTAACTTACAAGTGGAGAATCCATTTTCCGCGGTAATGTGTTCAAGATCTCCGAGGCGAGCAGTCTAAACATCCAGGAGTCGTCCTCCCCGCCTGCCTCTTAAACTGGCGTTTAATGGTTCCTCTCCGATAGCTAAACCCGCTTTCCACAGATGCCCTCTTTTATGGGGGAGGCAAGAATGCAGAGATGTATTTATATGTTTGTTCATAAAAACTGGAAAATAAGCTCTGAACACGCTGTAAAAAATATTCAGTTACTTACGAAACAGGCTAGTTAAACCATGGGAACAGCGCTATCGGACACTCCACATATTGGGCCATGGAGGTGCTGGTGCTCTGGAATCGCCCAAGGTCTTGGTTGGGGTTGGAGAGCCTGAAGAGTATGAAAATGAGAACATTTACAATCAGCCTGACCATTCGCCCCAGGGTGTGGGGGGCTCGGCCAAGATCTCAAAAAGCAGCCTCTAGAACTTCAGCCGCCTCAGCGCATCTGGGTACCCCAGTGTGTAAGCCAAGAGCCTTCTACTTAAGGGACTCGCGCCTGGCCCCGCGTCAGAACAGAGCTTCCCCGCCTGCCCCCGACGGGTCTCCGCAGGCAAAGCGCGCGGCTTCCCACCGCCCTTTTGTGGGGACCCTGCCGCCTACCTCCTCTGCTCGTGGCCCCTGCACCAGACTGCTCGCTTAAGCTCTTGCCTTGGTTACCTACAAAACATTTGGCAAAGCAATTAAAAAAAAAAAAAAAAGAAAGAAAAAGGAATGATACTGTACCTGGCATGAGATTCCTCAATATTTGAGACTGGGGTGGGGGCAGGGAGGGGAAAATTTTTAATAGTGAAGCATCTGCTAAACACTTGCATTAACCTTTAGCTGATAAAAAAGTTTTTTTAACCCTGCCCCCCCCCCAATTTTAATTATCTTATGGTTATGAAGGGGCAGCCAATCCTGAAAGAGGACCTCGGCAATTAGCAACTTGAACATCAAAAAAGTTTTATTGCGGAGAGCGCGAGGCGCCGCCCCCGCCGCCCCGGGATTGGCGTGCGGAGCCTCTGACGACATATATTAACCCGAGCTGCCCTAAAGATGTAGCTGTACATGGAGATCTTGCTGGGAAAAAACGTTTGCTCCCGGCTGCAGTGAGTCCAGCTCTGGAACAACGCCGCCGTCGCCACCCGGGAGCCCCCTCGGCCGCTGTGCAGACCTCACCGAGAGCCCGAGCCGCCGCTTCTGCGCCCCAAAGCGCCTCCAGGGCCCCAGGGCCTGCCCCCGAAAGGACAGGAGCGGAGAAAATGGATGCTCAGAGATATCTCTGAAAATCTTCCGAGGGAACCCAAGAGGAGAGAGGACGCGTCACTTGCCGCTTAAATCACATTCCAGGACCAAAACAATAACCACCACTACCACCAAAAAAAAAAAAAAAAAATCATTAAAACAATAAGCGCCCAAGAACCCAGATCGAGCTGGTGGGGGAGGGAAAGGGGCGGGAAGGGGAGGGTCGCATGGAGGCTGCTTCGCAGTGAGCGCCGGACCCCGCAGCCTCCCTCCAGGCCCAGCGGCTCCACCGGCCGCGGTTCATACTCTCCCCGGACTCCGGCTGAGCTTCGGCGGCGGGAACGCAGACGGCCCGCAGAGGTCGGAGATCCCGCGGAGCGGCCTCGGCGGGAACCCGGCCACCTTTGCATGAGCACGAGAGGATTCTGCGCCCCTGCAGCAACCCGGGAAGCAGAAGCCGGCACGGGGGCCGCACAAGGCGGGCGCCGGAGGCGGCGGCGGCCAGGGGCGCACGGTGCCGGGACCAGCTC